AAATAATTTCATATCTTTAAGAACACCGTTGTGTTTTTCAAATCACACTTCTTGCCTTGAGCTTTGGTCATTTCTATTATATAAAAAGACTTGAATGAAATTTCTACCCTTACCTCTAGAACGAATCAAATATAAATGTTTCATCTTAATACTTAGGTCAGATAAGTTTAAGAGTAGAATTCTATCAATTTAGTATTATTTTCAGCTCAATTTTAGATTGAATGGAGTGTCGATAAATTCAAATTCGAATTCGTGAAATATTATGTAAGGAATTTCATTGGTAAAAAAAAAAAACACTACTAATCATATATGTCTAACTTTATTCTAATTCGACTTTGGATACGTATTCAAGTTGCTGCCAAAAAAGACATGAATCACATTCAATTTTTTTTCCACCTTCTATCTTGTGACTGTCCTTGACGACCCGTTGATCCCGTAACTGGTGCTCTCTCACATCCTCTATTGTTGTGAGTGAGAGGAATACAACTATAAACACACTCAAAAGAGCTAAAAAAAACTTAAATAAAGCCTCACAAAGATTGAGTAATTTTAAATCTAATAAAATTAGATATTGAATTAAACTACTAAAATTTGAGCCCCAAAAATTTGAATTAGATCTAAAATACAAAAAAAAAAAATAGGCCTATTATACAAAAGGGATAAATTTTAGGAAATTTTGGAGACCGATCTCCCTATATGAACTTATTTGGAAATAAGTTCGGCAAGAAAACCTATTTGGTTTTAAATCTACTTTTTGTCAAATTTACTATTTTACCCCTACCTTTTGGGAAAACAATAATTGACGTCTAACTTACCGTCTCCTTCACTTAAGTTAGATCATTAAGATATATATAGAAACCCTTGATTGAGTTATATATGGAAACCGTTTTATTAAATATTATGATAAATAACAGAAGTTTTATATGAAAATTATATATTCTGGTAGTTATATATGGAATTTTGATATACGAATAAATTGTTAGTCTATTAAGTCAAAATTATATCACAAAATTTACTTAACAATTCAAAATTTTCTTAACATTAGTGTTACTATAATGATACGAATGAGATTGTTTTCCTTAAAATACTTAATACCCAAAATAAAGAATTCCACCATTTCAAATAGTAACACAAACTCAATCCCAATTTTTACATACACTACCAATGACAAACCTTTAGACGAATATTATGTAACATACAAATTTAATTTTAACAGTAACATCAAAGATTTGTGCTCAGTAACACATTAACTTTTACAAAATAGAAGGTAATAAGGTTTTCATAGTAACATTAATTTTCAAAAAATTATAATGAAAATATGATTCACAAATTGAAAATTTACAAAATTTTTAGTAGTAACACACCGTTGACAATTGAATTAGGATACTCAGCACCAATCAAGAACAATACGACATCGAAATTCTGAAATACATTTTTTAGTTATCATACAATAACATGATCTATTTCATTGACACACAATCAAGATATTTCGAATGTCCCACAACAAAGAAAACAACAAAATCGAATTATATAACACTTTAATTTAATAATAATGAATCTCAATTTTTCAATTAGGAATACAAAAAAAAACGGACAATTTGAATTTTATATTATGTAGAAGTTTTTTAAAACTCTACAATGAACATCAACGTTCACGTAAAATCACTATTGTTAGTGTCACTATAGTAACAATAATATTAAGAAAATTTTGAATTGTTAAAGAAATTTTGTGATTTTATTTTGACTTAATAGACCAACAATTTATTTGTACATCAAACTACCATATATAACTATCAGAATATATAACTTCCATATAAAACTTTCGTTAATTATCATAATATTTAATAAACGGTTTCCATATATAACTCAATCAAGGATTTTCATATAGACCTCAATGGTTTAACTTATTTAATTGGACAAAACTAACACCATTAGGGGTAATTTTGAGATTTAAAAAATAAGTGAACTTAAGTACCTATATATAAGTTTAAATATGAACTTACTCTCATATTAGTTTTCTTCCAGGACTCAAATCATTATAAGTCCATCTAGGGAGACTTACCTTTAATTTTCACTAAATTTTATAGAGACACTACGAAATTTGGATTTAGTTAAATAGAGAGTAATTTTGAACCTAAAAAAATTAAACTTTAATTTAATCATTTAAAATTTGGCCTTAAAAATTTATATCGTATCTAAAATACATATATATAAAATAGTCCGTAACATTTTTGAGAATTCTCTAAAATTTGAGACCCTATACAAACACCTTAGTTGCGTAGGGCTTAGACCGGTCCTAAGACATTTATTAGTATGAGAACTTCTTTATGGGTAGGGCCCAAAATCATGCCTTTTCTAGTAAAATCGTGGAATATAAACTAACTATATTAAAATGTTGAATAAGTTTTTTGCACTATTTTATTGGGTTTGTTTGTTTAGCCAAAAAAAATAGAAAATGTAAGAAAATATATTTTAAAATTTTCATGTATTTAGCTAACATAAAAAGAAAATGATAAAAAAAAAATAATTTTCTTAATGTTTGAATTTTTTCACAAATAAGGAAAGAGAAAAAGCGAAACAATGCTCGCCAGGCAAAAAGAATAAAAAAGGAGAAATGCGTAACGACAGGAAAAGAGTAAAAAAATTCAGCACAATAATCTAGGCTTGGAAGACAACCAAACATCCTTTACAGTCTTGGCCACCGGCAGACTATTGTGTGGAGTGAATAAACATGGTGGATTAATTTAATTCGGTGATAATATATTATTGACATTTAACCCCTAATATTATATAATTAATGAATATTATATAATGTTTCGATTTATTTCTCTCATTCATTATATGATTCAATGACAACGAATAAATTGTTGTCGTAAATATTATTTTCCTACGATACTATTAAAAAAAATATTAATTATGAACCAAGATGTTGTAATAAATTAATTTTACAATGTTAAGTAAGAATAAATTTAGATTTTTAGATTTTATGACCAGAACCAATTTTTGCAATTCATATTATATAAAAGTTGATTTAATAAATTCTATAAAAGTAAAAATGTTGGTATTAATGGTAACTTGTTCAATGGTCCTATAGAATACAATTTTTCATAAAGCGACTATTTTTGTCTAGCATCCCTCGCAATAAAATCTTACTTCCATCCTTGCCCACGATGAATATCTTAGGTTTTCCATCTATTCTTGGGAGCTCAAAGAAGGATGTTTTCAATCATACAACACGCGTTGACCGCTGTCTCGCGCTATATCTTTAAGTATCACGTTTATCATATTGTATCTTTTAAGTATGGTTATTAGTTTCACGTACAATTATTGGTTTCTTAGTGTCCCCTCAAATGTCAAGTTTCTCATATTATACCTACACCTATTTTATTTATTTCGAATTGTCCTACTTACAAAAATTAAAATCATTGAGCTATGGTTTATTGGTTTCACATTGTTCTATATCCATCGGCATTTTTCATCAAAAAATAGAATGGGCATTTAACTTTGGGTATTATTAAATCAATTCAAGTAGATAAGGGGCAAAATACTGTAAAATATCTTTATATCATCTAAATATTTCCTTGATATAGAAAAAAAAATATACAAAAAAAATCTAGAGTGCGAGGTACCATTTAAATCATGAAAGGAGAACCCTTTCTAATTTTATTATATGGACTTGCGCCTAATTTGAAAATCTAACACATTATTATTGTTAGATTAGTAGCAGATACTATCTAATGCTAGAAACTATTGTTAATCCAATAATTGAAGAATGTGAAGTTTTCAAATTAGATTCTTATATTTTTCTCTTTAATTTGATAAGTAAATAAAATAAAATCCAAGCATACTAAAAGAATTTTAAAAAATTTTGGGGCCCTTTACATATAAGGGTTGATAATACACAAAACTGTCTCGTATAAGGTCAACAGTCGAATATGTTGATGTGGAGTAATTAATGAGCAATAACTAAAGCAATTAATGGCAAACTAGTAAATAATGAGTCAACACAATGATATATAGTAGTTTGGTTCGGGTAACCTACTCTACTCTCGAGAAACGACAATGATGGTCGGAGCTCTTTATTGATGAATAAAGTAACCATGAGAATTACAGTAGCAAGGGGAGAGAAAACTTGGTGTGTAGAGAGACAAAGCTCAAAATGCAGGGATGTGTGTTGAGAGGAATGGTGAAAGATGAAGAGATCTCAAGGTGTCTCTCTACATGTGGAGAGAGTTTACATTATATAAGTTTGGTGAGGCGGTGAGTGAGGTGGCGACGTGAGGGAGAGGGCACTACTTTTTTTGTAAGTACAATTAAGATAGAATTTGGTCTCTAAGAGTGCATATCCCGATAGTCTCTTCAACGTGCTCTTATCCACCTAGGCTCTTTGGATCTTGGACTAGGACGGATTGATGAATTGGACTTGGACTCCCTTTTAGTTGACTTGGGCTAACTTGATTTGTTGGGCTTGGCCCAATCGATTTTGGGCTTTATCATTTGTCCCCCATACCCTAAGCCTCTCATTGTTCGCGAGAGGAGGGGGTTGAGGGCATGTTCTTCTTCCTTAGTAAGTAGGAGCTTTTTTGTTCTCCTCGATGCATTTTTCCCTTTTAGGGACTCTATTGAGTCTACTGACATCGGATATTTTTTGTATTTTTTGGCATTCCTCTTGTTGGGTATTTGCCTATAAATTGAGGTCTTTGGTCTTTCCAACCTCATTTCTCCCTTTACTTCCTCTAAGGCTTCTCCTAGAAGCCATTCATTTTTCCTTAAAGGCTTCTCCAAGAAGCCACTCCTCAAAGCTTCTCCTGAAATCCATCTTCAAGGCTTCTCTTGGAAGCTATATATTCCCCAACCCATTTCTCTCCCTTGGTCTTCCCTATTCTAAATCAAACAAGGCAATGGAGACTAGGAGCTCAAAAAGTCGTAGAGGGGACTTCAATGGCGTTTTAACGAGAAAAAAGACAGTTGGAGAAGAGGAGCAAGGAGGAGCCCATGACCTTGGTCTCATAGGTGGCGCCCATGGTGGAGGCATAATGTGGTGGCACCCATTCTGGTGGGCTCACAGTTGGAGATGACCAAACCTCGATGAAGAGAGAGGAGGGCAAGAAGTCCTTTGGAATTTTTGGTGTGACATGCGTGAGGAAAGAGGCCTCGAGAAACCCTTGTAGCATAATGGCCGGTGCCCATGGTGCAGGGAGTAGCGCCCAAGGCGCTGGAGATAAGATCTCGGTTGATGGTAGTGGAGGAGGTGACGTCCCAAACGTGACTCGACTATAAAGAGGCGCCCCAAGGGAGACAAGCGGCGCCAGCTGCATGCCAGATGACACTCTGGGCGTGGTCCAGGCTTCCCTTTGCGAGTCTAGTGATGGGGACCCCTTTGATAATGCTTTGATCCGGAGCCGAAGGGCAAAGAAGTGAAGAGATGACGTCGGCATGGCCATAGGCAACGTCTGGCCTTCCATGGGCGGCGCCAGGTCCCCCATTGGAGACGCCAGACTGCCCTAATGTAGTGTGGGGCCCAATACAGACGGCTTTGGCGATGGCAGTGGGGACTTGGGTGTGATGGGCAACTCCAGGGAGTGAGCAGACAAGTCCAATGGCACCTTGGGGTACTCAGGTAGTGCAAGGAAGCGGTCAGGCCATGACTCAAATAAAACGAGCTCTTGAGGTAGCTTATCTATTACTCAATTTTACTCTTCTATTGTTATGGGTATTTTTTGAGCACTAGCTTGATTTTGCTTTGGCACGTATTCTTTCGAGCGAGCAAGTGAGAGAATACTCGAGACTCCGATGGAGTCCTGGGGGCCGATGGACACAATGGCTCTAAGGTGGCCTTTATACTTAGTTCCCTTGACTATGAAGAGGATATTGCAGCCATAGTTTCCTCATATCACATTCCTCCTTCTGTGATGTGCCGTCGTGCTGAGGGTAACGAGCCAGCATGCTGCGACTTTTTGGGCGAGATCGTCTTTTATGAAGGCATTTTGGAGACAGGCCTGAGGTTTTCGATACCTGGGCCCATATGTCAGGTTCTAGGGCACCTGTCGTTGGTTCCCAGGAGATTGGCCCCGAACGGGTGGAGGGTGATACTAGCATTCTTTACATTGTAGCGGTTGATACACAATGCTGACGTCCCTCCCCTGTTCGAGGAGTTCTTGGCTACATATGTGCTCTTAGAGAACCCCATCCCTCATTAAGGGTGGTATCACTTTGCCCCCTAGGTCGGGCAAATTCATTACTGGACTTTCTTCGAATCTTCATAGTTGGAAGACCAAGTTCTTCTTCGTTGGAGGAGAGTAGGCCACGGAGACTAATTGTGACCTGGTGCCCTCGAGAAGGGATACTGTCCCAAAGACTAAGCTGGGTAGAAACTCATCCTTTAACTTCATTCTAGTTGTCTCATACTTGTTCTCATAGTGTAACTGGCTTTCTTGTAGCCTCACCGACGCTGTCTGCAGAGCAAACTCCAGGTGATACATGACCATCCGTTTAAGGAGTTCTCTAGGATCGTGTCGACGTCTGGTCATCCCAAGGCTTCTTCGAGGTCGAAGAGGAAAGTTACTTGAATTTTCCAGAAGACTCTTTGTAGACATAGCGTTGCAGGCTGTTTTACTTACTCTGATTATGCAGGTGCCCCCATTGATAGATTAATAGTGGAGGCTGTCTGTACTTCCAGGGTGCCTTCTTCTCCTTCTTCTTCTAAGAGGGTGACGTCAGGTGCTCCCGACGCTTCTCAGCCGAGGCCCATTGGTGAGGCTAGTCCCTGTGAGATGGGGTTAGGTGATGCCCCTCATTTTTCTTTGATTGATGTCTCCTCACCCCCCAGAGATGATCTCAGCACTATTATAGAGGCTGAGGCTCCGTCGCGGTCCCCTATTAAAGTGGAGAGTCCGCCTAGCTGTCCTACTTCGGGTAGTGCCTCAGTATCTATGTTGCAAGACGTGAGGCTGGACAATGAGAGACTTTGGGGGTTTGTAACCCACACGGAGGTTCAGGAGGTTGGCTCCCGAGGCCTAGAAGGCATTGTTGACACTGTTGTGGAGGGCTTTGCTTTGGTGCCTGCTGCTTTGCCCTGCTTGTTTACAAATACTCTGAAGATCAGGGAGGCAATTAATGGCCAGACAGCGAAGAGGTGGGCACGTGAAGCTGCTGAAAAGCAGTTGAGGCTTGTGCGATAGGTACGAGAGGATACCGCGGAGCAGTTAGGGCTTGTGCAGTAGGCACAAGAGGATGTTGAAAAAGTAGTTTGGGCTCGAGCAGCAAACACAAGAGGATGTCGCAGAGCAGTTGAGGCTAGCGCACAAGAGGGCCGCCCATCTAGAGGCTAACCTTCGAGTAACATTTGAGAGAGCTACTAGGGCAGATGCTTACTCTATAGAGATGAAGAAGATGAGGGATGCTACTGAGAGGGCCAATGCATATGCCTTCATTAACGGCTACGATGAGCTCCGGAGGAAGGTCTTAGCAGTATTTCCTGCTTATGACTTTTTTGGTTTTTTACCTTATGAGGCTCTAGAGACTGATGAGGAGGATACGAGCGATGATAGGAGCGGAGGCAGCGAGTGTCACTAGGAGGTGTATTTGTATTCATGTTTTTTGTTGATAGGTCAGATTCTATCTTTGTAAAGACTTAATGAATTTGAAAGAAATACAACTTTTGAAAAAATATTACAAAATTTTATTTCATAATCCAAAGTAAATATTTGAAGAAAATTGACCAAAATAAAAAGTAAATAGTCTAAATAATTACCACCAACTTATAATTCACTGCCTCTAGCAACTGGTAGTATTTATTTAGATGCTCTGCGTTCTATGGATGGGCCAGGACTTTTCCTTCAAAATTCTAGATTTTGTAGGTGTCTGGCCTTATCACCTCCGTGACCATGTAGGGTCCTTCCCAGTTAGATCCCAGTTTTCCTTCCTAGGAGTTCTTGGTAGAAAAGATGAACTTTTTGAGGACTAGGTCCCCAGGTAAGAAGGAGCGAGGCTTCACCCTCGAGTTATAGTACTTGGTCATGCGACGCTTGTACTCTGCATTCCTGAGAATGATTATCTCCTTCTCATCCTCTACCAAGTTGAAGTTGATGCAGAGACCTTCTTCATTATTGGTAGAGTCATGGTGCTGAACCATATGAAAGTGTATCCTGATCTCGACTGGTATAACTGCCTCTATCCCATAGGCTAGGAAAAAAGGGGTTTCGTCAATGAGGCTCCTTGGCGTCGTCCGGTAAGCCTATAGTACTCATGGGAGTTCGTCTACCCATCGTTCTTTTGCACTTTGTAGTCTAGCTTTGAAATTACAGAGGATGGTTTTGACAGTAATCTCTGGCGGGGTTGGAGTGGGGCTGCTTGATCTGCAAGTCGGTGCAGAAACTGTTGAAAAGTTTGTTGTCAAACTACTTGACATTTTTACTCATAATGGCATGAGCTATTCCAAAGCAGTAGACTAAACTCTTCCATATGAAATTCTTTATCTGCTGGTATGTTATTCTGGCTAGGGTCTCGGCTTCTACCCACTTGGTAAAGAGTTGATGACTATCACTACAAACTTGCATTGGCTCCGACTCACAGGAAGGGGACCTAGGATGTCGATTCCCCACATGGAGAAGGGCCATGGGCTCTAAATAGTGGTGAGCCCTTTGGGTGGCTGTCTGGGTATAGTCGCAAAGTGTTGGCACTTGTCACATCTCCTGACAAACTCACGGGTGTCTCTGATCATGATAGACTAATAATATCCCTACTTGACTACTTTGTGAGCTAGTGCACGCCCTTCTGAATGATTTTCACATATTCCTTCGTGGATCTCCTTCATGGCGTAATCAGCTTCCTCGGGAGTAAGACAACAAAGTAGTGGTAGGGAATAATTTTTCTTGTACAGGGTATCTTGAAGGATGACATAATTGGACGCTCTCATTCTCAATCTTTTGGTTTCCACTGGGTTGTTTGGGAGAACGCCCTTCTTTAGGTAAGCTCCGATGGGAGTCATCCAGTTGGACTCTAAGGATGCACAGTTGACATTGTCCTCCTCTATTTGGAGATGTTAGGTTCAAACTGGTGTCTTGCCAGTCCGGGCCCATGAGTATGTTGGTAGACGTGAATTTGGCGAGAGCATCTACCATGACATTCTCCTCTTGAAGCACATGGTGGATTTGGAAGCAGGTAAACTTTTTTAGCAGGGGTTGGACCACCGTGAGGTACTCTTGCATTCTTTCCTCCATTGTTTTAAAGTTTCCCTTTAACTGGTTGACTATGAGCTGGGAGTCACTGTAGGCTGTTAGGTAAAGGGCTTTCATCTCCTATGCAAGTTTTAAGCCTGATATGAGGGCCTCATACTCAACTTGATTGTTAGATTTGACAAAGTGGAGGGAGACGGCATACTTCAGCGGAGTGTCATGGGGGCTGATCAGCACTAGTCCCACGCCATCACCCTCATTGGTGGAGGACCCATCCATGTAGAGTCTCTAATCTGATACCATAGATGGTGGAGAAGGAGTTGGCTCCACGGGCGACGCTATGTGCGACGAGGGGAGCAATGGTGACGAAGAGACGAGAGAGGATGTTGTGGACAGGTGGGGGTGGCACCCTGGACTGAATGAGCGGCACCCCAGGTTGTTGGGGCTGCAGGTCCTCCGAGTTGTTATGTCTTCTCACCTCATGGTGGGCAGTATGTACTGAGCAGGTGGGCGCAGGGGCGCCTGCTGCATCTTCTAAAAACTCTTGTGGCGGCATAGGCATTGCTACGAAATCTACAAGTGCTTGTACTTTGATAGCTGACCTTGGCTGATATTGCACATCAAACTTGCTTAACTCGATGACCTACTTGAGTAGTCAACCGAATACATTAGGCGTTCCTAAAATTCTTTTGAATGGTTGATCCGTGACAACCAGAATAGTGTAGCTCTGAAAGTAGTAGCGTAGGCGCCTAGTGGCAATGACAAGTGTAAGGGCCAACTTTTCAAGTTTTGAGTACCTTACCTCTACCCCTCGGTATACTTTGCTTACATAATATACCAGCTTCTGAACATCTCTTTCCTCCTTGATGAGGACAGAGCTTATGATAGAGGCTAAAGAGGAGAGGTAAAGGTAGAAGGTCTCTCCTGGTACAATAAGTAAGAGTAAAGGTGTTGTGGCGAGGTAGGCCTTGAGCTTCTAGAAAGCTTCCTCTGCATCTAGGCCCTACTAGAAAGACCTGTGAAGGATTTTAAAGAAAGGCAGGCATTTATCTACTGATTTAGAGACAAACTTGTTGAGGGCTGCTATCCTCCCGTTAAGGCGCTGGACCTCCTTTGTTGAGGCAGGGGATTTAATCTCTAAGATGACTTTGATTTTGTCTGAATTGGCTTCAATGCCCCTTTTGTTGACTATGAAGCCCAAGAATTTTTCTGAGTTGACGCCAAAGGCACACTTTTCAGGATTCAGCTTCATCCTGTAGGCTCTCAACACATCAAAGGTCTCCTGCAGGTGTGTCACGTGGTCCGCTGTA